TCCTTTAACCTTTTCTTGTCTGTGAAGCTCTTCAAATGAAAGCTTTGCTGAGTAGAGTAATCTTGGTTGTATGTCCTTGCTATTCACCACTTCAAATATTTCTTACCACTCCCTGCTGGTCTGCAGAATTTCTGTTGAGAAATCAGGTGACCATCATATGTCTCTTGTAGGTACCTAACTGCTTTCCTTTTGCTGCTTTTAAGCTTCTCTCTTTGTTTTTAACCCTTGGCATTTTAATTATTCTGTGTCTTGGTGTGGGCCTCTTTGGGTTCCTCTTGTTTGGGACTCTGTACTTCCTGGACTTGTACGTCTATTTCTTTCACCAGATAGGGGAAGTTTTCTGTCATTTTTTTCAAATAGGTTTTTAATATCTTGCCCTCTCTCTTCTACTTCAGGCACCCTCATAAATGAGAATGTTAGTATGCTTGAAGTTGTCCCAGAGGCTCCTTACCCTATCTTCATATTTTTGGATTTTTTTTCTTTTTGCTCTTCTGATTGGATGTTTTTTGCTTCCTCATATTCAAAATCATTGATTTTATTCTCAGAATCCTCTACTCTACTGCTGAGTCCCTTTAAATCAGTGGCTTCCAACCGGTAGTCCAAGGACCACTGGTGGTTTGTGAGATCCAAAAGGTTGGAGACTGTTGCTTTAAATTATTTTTTATTTCAGTAGTGTATGCTTAATTTCTGACTTGTCTTTTTCCATGTCTTTGACTTTTTTCACTAAGATCCTTGAAAATCTCACAAAGTCCCTTGAAGCTCTCCTTAAGGTCCTTGAGTAACCATATAACCATGGTTTTGAACTCTATTTCTAGTAATTTACTTGCTTTCATTTCTTTCATTTGTGACATGTTTCTTTGTCTCCACATTTTGGCTGCTTGCCTGTGTTTGTTTCTGTGTGTTAGGTAGAGCTGTTATGTCTCCTGAAATTGGTAGAGTGGCTTTGTATAGTAGGGCCCACTGCTCAGCCTCCCTAGTTACCTGAGCTGGGAAGTCTAGGTGTGCCCCTGTGTGGGCTGTGTTTCTTGTATTTGAGCTTTGATTGCATCACTGGGAGAAGTTGAACTCCAGGCCAATTGACTGTGAGGACCAGCTGCAGCTACAGTGTGAGAGCTACTGTGCAGGAGATCTCCTGTGTGGGGTGTGTGTCTCATATTTGAGCTTTGATTGCATCACTGGGAGAAGTTGAACTCCAGGCCAGTTGACTGTGAGTACCAGCTGCAGCTACAGTTTGAGAGCTACTGTGCAGGAGACACCATATGGAAAAGGACTTCAGTAGGACTTTGGTGCTCACTGAGGCTGCCCCTTGAATGTGTTACTTGTGGATGTATATAGTTGTAATATGGTATGATCTGAAACTGTCCACCAGGTGCACTGGCTCTAGGGCCTCCCAGGAGGTGCAAAGTCAGCCCCTGCCTGGGGCCAACCAGCAGAAGCTACAGAGATATGTGAAGACAGCTGCTACTTGTATTGGGCTTGCAAAGTGCCCACATGAGGCCAAATTGTGAAGCAAGGCAGGTTGGTGCTGTGGCTGGGTCTTGGGACTTTCATTGATAGGTTTGGAGCAAACTGACACCAGCTGCTGCTTGTTTGAGAGATTTTAGCAAAGTCTGAAGCCTGAGCCAGGACAGGCCATTCATATGGAAAAGCTGCAGCAAACAACTTTGGTGAAGCTGCAAATTGGATGGGGTGGGGTCTCATGGAATCACCAGGTTGGAGTAAGCAATGTGAGCCAGGTTGATGGAAACTCAGATATGACTGCCAGTCAGCTCTGTGATGAGGAAGTTCCCAGCATGGGAACAATGACCCCTCTGAGCATCCCTGTCTAGGAAAAAGCTGCCTCCAACATCCTGCCTTGATGCCAGACAATACAGTTCCTTCCCATATGTGTCTGTGCTCCCCAAAGCTGCCAGGCACTGGAGCTCAGAGGGATTGAGTTCTAGTAAGTTTGTGTGCCGGCCTTGTAAGAGGAACGCCTGGGTCTTCATTAGCCTCTGTGTCACTCCGCCACAATCCCAGCTGGTTTTTACAGACTGTAGTTACAGGAACTTCTATTTCCAGCTCTGGAACTCTGGGCTGGGGGGTCTGGTGTGGAGCTGGGACCCTTACTCCTCATAGGTAGCCTCTGCAGAGACCATCTTCTTCCTGATTAAAATATTGCACACACAGGTGTCAAACCAGCTCAGTATGGACCTCCACTCCTACTATCAGTCTCAATGTGCCTTTTCTTTACTTCTCTAGTTGTAGGACTTCCATTCAGCCAACTTTCAGGCAGTTCTGAATGATGTTTGTTCTGTATTTTAGTTGTAATTTTGATGTGATAGAGGGAGGCAGCACACACTGGCCATCTTCTTTTCTGGGTCTTAAAAATTTTTGCTTCACTGGCATAGGTGTTTGCTATTGTGTTGAATGCAAAAAAGGTCTTTATATGGTGTAGTACGAGTTACTTTACCAAAGTTGTGGTCAGAACCACTTTCAAAAGAGAGAGATTTCAAAGTAAAGCATGAAAAATAAAGCAAATCTCTTTTAAATTAAGACAACAATAAATGAAATATTTTGAGTAAAGCCTTGGCTGTATGAGAAAATACGTACAAGCCTGTTGCTTTATTACATTACTTACAGTATTTGTGTGATAAAAAACAAACCCAAAAGTGCAAAAAATCTTACTACAGCCATGTATGAGGACTGCTCGAATATGCATAAATATTAAGTTTTTCCACAGAGAGTGACATTTTTTAATTTTTTTGGAAAATGTTAATAGAGGATGAGGAAATATAGCTAGAGGTAAAAAAAATATTGTTTTATGACATAGGCGATGCAAATATAAGAAAGATTTAATTGAAAAACTATTCTTATGCATATTTGTAGATTTCATTTCCATAAGTAAAGACCTATACTATTACTTCTCTTTTATAATTACATTTTCCAACAAAAATATTTAGCCATTGTAACCAGCTGTTAATTAATTTAAATTTCAATATGGGGTGGTATAAGTTAAGATAAATGTAGTGTCTTTTTGATGAGGCAGTTGAATTCTCCCTTAAAATTGTGACACCAAGCTAAATATATTTGTTATTTGAAGAAATTATCTTTTATTGCTAGAAAATAAAAACATTTATTCAAATAAAGAAATCTAGTAGGTTTTAACAAGTTTATAAAATGTTATAGGCAATGCTGTTGAGGAAATAGCTAAATGATATTTTAAATAAGTGAAAAATTCATTTGTGATACATTTACAAATGAATGTAAATCATAAGAATTATTTGGGGAAGACTGTTAAAATGTTGATTTCCAGGTCTGACCTCTCTAGAGCTACTAATAAAACTTAATAATCTAGGTCAAAGTAAAATATCACATGGTGTGTCTAAAGCATTTTCTTCGGGAAAATAAGGAATTGAAATAGAACCCAAATTTTATTGGTCATCAGAAATAAGATTGTGATTTGGAATATAAAATATATAAACTACTGTTATAAGAATAAATTTATAACATCTAAAAATTTTAACAAAATTTTCACTTCCTATATGTTTATTGATCTGATGAATACTTTGAGTT